TAATTGATTATTGTTTTGGGTTTTTTTTGGGGTGGGGGGGGGGGGGAGGGTTTGGAGGGGATTTTTTTGCTTGTTTTGGGGGTTTTTTTCCTTCTCCCTGAATAAAACAGAGTTGCTCCTCTAACCTTGAAGGACCCGCAGTTGGAATTACTCTGTATGCTCTTCTAGGATAGCTGAGCAGAATTTGTCTTTTGACATATCAACTAAAAAGTGATAACAGAGTGGAGAGGGCAAAAGGCTGCCATTTTGAACCTCAGTATATCTGAGTAACTTAAATCTTCATTGATACATTTTATTGGTTTATCAATAAGATTAATTTGTATTTTGTTTGTGTTATTTTTATAGGTGATGAGAATGACACTGTCAACACTGAATTGGCGACGGCGGGAAATGGTGAGGTGGTTGGTAACATGCGCAACGGAAGTAGGTATGTTCCGAAATGCTTCTCAAGGGCTACTGCCTTTTTGTCAGCTAATCTTAAGAGGGCTTGATCTTGTTTGTCAAAATCCAGCCTCTGCAAATATCTCTCACTTATTGTTAATCTATAAAATTCCTTTGATCAGAAGACACTAATTATGCCAATTATGAGTATGTGATAGAATAGGCTGCCACAGTTTGACTCAGGATCAACAACAATGCTCTCAATCCCCTCCCCCTCCCACCCAGGTAAGGAAGGAGAGAGATGCTCTGGATTGAAAAATAAACTACACAGCTTTAATTAAACACTAATAATAAAAATAAAATATATGCAATTAAATATATATGTGTTCAGGAAATGTGCAAAACCCCTACTGCCTCCCCCCACGCCCAGCAACTCTCACAGCACTCTCCTTAGCTGCAAACAGTCCCAAAAAGTCCCAGATGGGTGCCAGAGAGAGAGCAGAGTTATGAGGGTCAGGAGAGCTCGACCCTAGGGGTCGACGGTGATGGATAGATGGCGTCCTCCCCGGACGCCGGCCATGGATGGAAGGGAAGGGAAGAAGAAGCAGGAAGGAAGTTTTCTGTCATCTCTGACATTCCTCTGAGCTTACATAGATATATGGAATGGAATATCTCTGGCCAATTTTACTGTCTGTCTAACTCAGCCTCCTACGGGGGGATCACAGATCTCCCCATAGTGTATGAGATGGCAGGGTAAAGATGTGACCTTGAAGTCCTACCAATAGCATACATTCCAGTATTTGTTATCAGTCCTAGATGGAACACTTTATTACTAGTTAAAAGAGAGGAAAAAAAAAAACAGTAAAAGGAAAATTGGCTTCATCCTGGCTCAAACCATTCCACCCCTTAAACTATACCATATATTACATATAAGCTTTATATTTTACCAGCTGTCAAATGAAGGATTCTCCCCCAGAGTCAGATTACCTTGAGGTACACATTGTACTTCACCATCCTCCATCATCACACACCAGGTATGTTCAGGTCCCTGAGCAAAAGCAACACCCCAGGCAGGTTTACCTTTGCATGAAGCAGGATAAACCCAAACACTTTTACCCAGCTGGTTTATTTCACATAGCACAGGGACTTTATACCCATCTGCAGTATGTAGAAGGTCTGACTGAGCAGTGCCAGCCCAATTAATGGATCCTCCGGTATTAACTGACCCAGTGTCCTTTGCCAAATTTTTGTCCCAGTTTTTGAGAGTTCCACAATGTATTGCCTTCAGGGTAGCTTTCAACAGACCATTGTACCTTTCAATACTCCCTGAGGCTTATGCATAGTACAGGATATGGTAGATCCACTCAATACCATGCTCTTCAGACCAGTCAGCCACAAGACTGTTTTTGAAATGAGTCACATTGTATGACTCAATTCTTTCTGGAGTACCATGTCTCCACAAGATTTGCTTCTCAAGGCCCAGGATAGTATTCCGGGCTGTAGCATGAGGCACAGGATATGTTTCCAATCATCTTGTACTTGTTTCCACAATTCTAAGCACATAGCGCTTGCCCCGGTGGCTCTGAGGCAGTGTGATGTAGTCAGTTTGCCAGGTCTCTACACGCCTGTACATTGACCTGAAGTGTCATGAGCCCATTGAGCCAAAAAGAGTTCACCCTTACGTTCCCAGTCTAAGTCTATTTGGAACACTTGAGCAGCCTCATCTGCTCGTTGGTTGTGTCGATGTTCCTCAGTGGCTCGACTCAGAGGTACATGTGCGTCTAGATGATGCACTTTTACCTCCAGTTTCTCTATCTGAGCTGCAATGTCTT